AGAATTGGTTATCCTGGAAGATTGAGTGTTTTGAGTTGACGTTGCAGGCGAACTGGGTACTGCTGCATTTTCCAGAGCTGGAGAACCGTTCGAGAGAGTAGTACCCCGACTAGAGGCAGAACAGCTCTGGTTTCCGTACGATGTTCCTCCATTCACATTGGAGAGCGTTGGTCCCGGTGCGACTGGTATAGCCGGAGCATGGATTGATTTCAACTGCTTTTTTAATCTGGCGATAGTTTGAGAAGAAGCTCCAGTGGGTTGACCGATAGCCCCATCATTATTAGAGGCCATCACTCTGCAGGATACCTGTACTCGCCATAGATGGTGGAGACGATTGTGTGGATGTTCGAAGTTGGGGAAAACGTCCATAGCGTGGAGCTGAATTGAAGCTGACATGCACTGCCCCCTTTTGAATGCAACCCATGTCGGTCCGCACGTGACAACAGCAGTGCGCCATGGTTATTGCTTTTTCCTTTGAAGCTGCGTGATATTCAATGTGACGCACATTACCTAGGTACACAGGTGACCGACATGCGCTCTTATTGCGGAGACTTATATCGGTAGAGCCTTCTCTCACAGTCATGGAATCGCTACATTAATTGCATTTGCATAATGGAAGTAGACAAAAGAAACATTATTAAGTTAGGGGAAAAGTTCTGGGGGTGGAATCTCTGTGGCCGTTGCCGTGCTGACCAAGAATGTCAAAGTCCGAGGTGTCCTGGTCAACGGCATCGCAGGATACAGAGATATTATCAGTTCTGTGAAGCTATACGTGAGCTACACTAGTTATATTTATTATCCTAGGGAAGGTTTAGGAGCAAGTTCCTTAGTTCTTCGGATCAAGTTCTCTTAGAACATGTCCTAAGGCTTCCGAAACCTTAGCAGACTTGCTACCAAAAGGATATTCACTAACTCCGCTACTGTCAGTACGCCCCGACCCGTTAGATGAATCACTCAGTGCCAGATTCATGGACGACAACGATCCTCACCTACAGGTGATGCTCAAGTTAAAAGCCAATCCCGACCTAAGCCGTCAGGAGTTAAGAACCATCATATGGGGAACCAACAGCAATGTCTCGCTTACGATAATGTTGGCAACCATAGATCGTGCAGTTAGAACTATGTTGATGATCGATTGCGCGCCTTCATACCAGGCCACTGGACGTCTCGAAGAGGGCCAGTCGAGGCTTCCTTGGGGCGACGGTCTATCATTGTCCAAATTTCTCGAAGAGGCCTTCCCGAAGAATCAGCACCGCGTGTTAACCTCCACAAACAACCCGCGACTTAGGAAGCTCAAAGGCGAGCTCAGGGCTGACAGACTTAAGAAAAGGCTAGGTGTCACTTTCCGAGGCACAAGCGACTTGCGGGATCATCTCCGACTGAGCTACACCACACATGGGATAATCCTGAACATCTACCATCACGTGGGATTCCTCAAGGAGCAGTTGATTTTGACGAAGACGACACCATGTGGCGCAAGCTTTGCACAATCAATCAAAGTGTATGACTACTGCTAATTAAACATTCTGAAGTATCCGTTCTGATTGCTCACAAGACACTAGCTGCGGGGCGCTCCCCAGACAACTGATGTTGGAAACAATTGATTCTCTACAAGGTATCCTTTTCCCCGTGGCGAGTAAAAAGGCAAGGAAGCTACTAGATAGATTGGTGGCAACCGAACAGTGGGATCCTGAGATAAGAATATACGAGTTCGGCACGATACGGAACCGTGAAGAGGACAATATCCCCTACTTTTACCTTGCCGACCGTCTTTCCGAACTGCACAATGGATTGAAACACCCTCCACCGCGGGGCTGGCTCGAGAGACAGATAGAGCGACGCACGGCAGATAGATATATGATGATGGCGACTTTGGCAGGCGTGGCATTTGCCGTATTACTCGGTATATTCTCACTGATCATCAGCTCTTACCAGACCTGGATCTCATACCAGGCGTGGCAGCATCCCGTCAGTGGGAGCGGGCCATGAAGTAGGATTTGGTGGGTTGAGAAACCGCTAGATCATAGCCATACCTACTCAAACAGCTTTATTTACGGGCACGGGTCAATTCAAGGACACTTTGGACCATGTCGCAGGAATCCGTATGACAAGTCGTCCACGCAACTACAGAAAGAGCTCGCGCCAGGGGTAGGTACCATGTTCTCGAAACTACTTCTGCTAAAACTAAATGTTTACAGTCGCATCTGCAGCCATCGCGCCGGCCTTGTTCAAAAATTTACAACTCGAATCTTTATCGGCGATGCTTTCGTGAGCCAGCGGGTTGTATCCTCTATCTTGTGATAGTGTCTGACAGGTGTAACTCCAAATGATTGCCTGTCGCTTATTGTGTCACTGTTTCTACTGTCTTCTGTCTTTCAAAGAAACGCGCGAAGTAGCAGTTGAGTTAGAGAGCCTTCTAGAAAAAGGTTGTGTTATGGGCAAACAAGGAGCGGTTTCAAGGCTGGGCCACTGTGCTAAGACTATGAGCCAATTACTAACATGAAGTCTATCAACTTATTCAAGAATACCAGTCTACTACATCGGTTTCTGAGTTTTCTAATCCGAAACTGGAATTATGTATTACGAGCGTGTAAAGGAGCCGAACTACGGCTTTTGCGCGAGCGCTGTGGAAAATGCTACCATATTAGTAAGTACATTTGCCAAAGTACGGGCAACAGGGTTGCGCCTCCTACCGGAGCATCTCATCCCCGCATAAGACCAACTTCTAGCTATGCACTTTCTCGACGGCGGTATCCTAGCGGATCTAACACCTATGCTATAGAAAACTGTGATTTTATTATTTTCGCCCCTTAAGTCTCTCGCCGTTCTTCCGGCCCGCGTCCAGAGTGTTTCATCCAATGTCTATCTCGAAGAAAACAGTCCTCATTACGGGATGCAGTGATGGTGGCCTAGGAGCCGCTATGGCTAAAGTTCTCTGCGAGAAGAACTACCATGTTTTCGCAACCTTGCGAAACACTTCCAAGGCGGGAGCATTGAGAGACCTTAGTGACGTTGACATTCTAGAGCTTGATGTCTCATCGATCGATTCGATCGCTCGGTGTGCCGAAGAGGTCAGGCATCGCACCAGTAGACTCGACATTCTTATCAATAATGCTGGTAGCGACTTTCTCATGCCGATTCTTGACGCCGATATTGAAAAAGCTAAGAGGTTCTTTGATGTAAACTTCTGGAGTGTTCCGGCTGTCACACAAGCATTTGCGGATCTTATAATTAAGGCTCGGGGTGTCATCGTCAATTGTAGCTCTGTCCTATGGAATATACCTACTCCCTGGGCGGGTACGTATTCTTCTACACTCATCTTTATACTACCCTCTACATGTCATGAGAGATTTCTTCCATCAAGCCTATTATGACTCGCTTACAGTGGCTTGAACCTCCTCTAGGTCTATACACCACGGCTAAAGCAGCAATTAAGCAACTGTCGGAAACTATGCGTATTGAGATGGAACCGCTTGGCGTACGGGTGGTGACTGCAATAATTGGTGGAGTACAGACGAATTTCTTCCACAACGCCCTTAACGAGCCATTCCAATTGCCTGAGAACTCTTACTACAAACCAATCGAGAAACTTCTTGAGGATGAGCGCGCAGGCAAGCATGCTCTTCAAGGAGAAAATGTCGAAGTCACGGCCCGGAATATTGTTAACGATGTGCTTGATGGAGCGAATGGGTGTATTTGGCGGGGTGCAAAATCGACTGAGGCAAAGTGGCTCACCTGGCTGCTCCCTACATGGGCTTTGGAATGGATTGTGACTCGGTCGAGAGGTCTAGAAGAACTAAGGCAACAGTATCTGGACAAGTAGATCACAGTTGTGGATAATATGGCTATACAGTAGAGATCTGTGAATATATTCGGACGAGCTTCACGTTTTCATCGGCTTGTTGAAGACATTAGTCGCGGACAGTGGTTGAAAACTATGCAGGAAGATATCAACTACTCCAACGAAAGAACAGATTCATTTGGTGCTCTGTTTTAACTCCTCTCAGGAAACTGCAGAAGTACTTGAATTCTGTTTCTGGAATTGGCTTCGAGGTAGTTATTCTGCGGAGCTAAGGAGTATTTTATGTGGAAGTATTAAACCGCCGAAAAGGGGCCCTTGAAAAAGGAGCACTTGGTATCGAAGTGAGCCCCATGAGTCAGTACCCAAGCTTTCAAGATCCCGGCCGTTTCTACACCTTCTGAAGCCTTTAGAATCAGTTTTCATGTGGTTATTGATTGGGAACGTCGTGATTACAAGGGAAACTGGCCAATTCAATGAAGGACCGCGATGATATCTGTAGAGTAATGTGATCACTCCCTCGCCTGTAGCAACATGCACCCAGAGTAGCATCTTTACCCCTTTTTAAGTACATAAAATCTCTCCCGTAGACTTACTGTCAAAGTTAAAGACCGCGTTCCACGGAAGGTAACATACTTATCGTAAGTAACAACTTTTTCTCCCAGACGAGATGACGTCCAGCAGTAGACATGTGTATATGAGGGGAAACTTGTGCAAATAACATTTGGTATCCAGCGACTTACCCGGTGCTATGCTCTAGTGAAGGTAGGCAGGTCCGAGTAGAACGGCAGAGGGGGCGAAGTTCCATCACGGAATTCCTACGATGTGAATTGGCTGCACTGCCCCCTGATGGATTTACATCTGTACTCAAAGGGGAATAACGAGACTCTTATAATCTGATTACACAGATAGACAAGATATAATGAATGAAAAGAATGTATTCCATAGCTACATCTCTCATTTAGACAGCTGCCTCCATGCCTTCAAAGGGCGACCTTATCTGCCACCTATTCTGGAAAGTCCAATGATCGAGTATCATTCACACAGACATCTTTTTCAGCTTTGACAAGGAGAAAGAACACAACATAACATAAGCAATCAAACAAGAAAGGAAGGGGGAAAACAATGAAGTCTCAGATTTCACATCATCTAGCCATAGAAAATAAAAACAAAAAGGCTCGTTTAAGAGTTCTTATGTCATTGGCGTTACCAGGAATCGAACCTGGGTCTATTCGGAGCTTCGTAGTGAATGAAACCACAACGAATTATAATGACCACTATACTATAACACCCGGTTATCGAAGGGTCGGCTCGGTACGGCCTACTATAGCGCGATACTCCACGCGTGGATCCTAAGCCCTAATGCTAAAGGACTGTTTATCTATCTGCGCCAGCGAGTCCGTTTGCGTGCTTGTTGAGTGATGGAATTGTCAAGGGTACATCTTCTGGAGTTGTGGTATCGCCTGCTTCAGTATCAATCGGCAAGACGGCATCGTGGAAGTCACAAGGTCCACGGCGAAACACTCTGGTTTCCGCCAGGGCGCTCGTGTGCAGAGCCGATGCAGCGGCGTGATGCACTCTGACACCACTCTTAGAAAATCCGAAATCTCTTGGGCCAAGGCTGTGTCTACGGAGTCCAGTTGTGAGAGCATCCTATGATAGTGATAGTGCTGGCCAGCGATCCGTAGGATGTTGCTGCGGTACATATCTCTCCTGACAATCTCGAATGATGAGATACATTCTCACACTTTCCTCACCGATAAGAGAGTGGACGCGAGCGCTAAAGAATCCATGTGCAATCTACAGGAGAGAAACCTTTGACATCATCAGCGATTAGTTAGATTTCATACTTTGTCGCATCGGAAAATATACTTACAGCCCCGGAGCTCTTCCGCCGTTGACCCAACAACCTCGCCCTGTAGATCTTCTTTCCACTTGAAACTCTCAGCCAGCTTTCCTGAATCAGTTATCCGCGTTCTGATACAGCTGTACGTGTCGAACCTCGGCTGTGACAACGCTCACCACACGCACGTCAATCAACCCCTTTATATCGGTTCGCAATACCCGCGTTATAACGAGACTGTTAGCCCAAGGCTACAGCCGGCTGACGCCATCCAGAAGCTTCTCTCGCCGCGCCTCGTTACACTCTCATCAATAATTAACCACAAACATGCATGCCTGGGACATCGCATTCATAACCAAGCCCCTCTCAACAAGCCCGCCCGTCGAGCTACGCCGCCGAAAGCTTCACCCGACGGACGGGCGTACAGGTCGTTTCAAGCTAGTCCACCCGAGTCAATCTCGAAGAGCCCGCGCCTTCGCAACAACTCCATCCACAAATCCACCAGCACCACCGTGGGCTCCTGTCTACGCCGCCGGAAATCAAATCGCAATACACGTACGTACATACGTACGTGAGCCCCGTTCGTCTCCCTCCCCTTCTTCACAAAGCCTTGAAGGTAGGGTAGTCAAAGAACAATCGAGGCGAGGCGATGAATATCTCACCTTACCAGAGCCCAGGGGGCTCCAGGACACCAACCAGAGCGTGGCTGGCGCCGGGCACGTAGAGCCTATTCCGGGGAAGGTTGGCGAATCGATGAACTAAATTCCGGCCTATCCCCGTCTATCCCTAGCTAAAAATCCCGTTGTGCTTCTCTCAAAGCTGATAGATGCGAATTAGTAACCATGATATCCATCATCTCCCGGATCCGTCGTCGTTCGTTTTGACCACGTCCGGCAAGACAAGAAGTGCTTATAAGGGACTCGCCCGGATAGCGTAATGTTATACTCATACATATATAGGTATTAGGACTTATTTTATGGACTGCTAACTAGGTAGGTAGTGGGTAGGTGACTTAAGTATTTTCTTCCTTCGCCCTGGCCATTAGAGAAGGCTCTTCTTCTTGCTGCCTCATCTCGCCAGCACACATGGAGTTGTATATGTTGTTGGAGGTTGGAAGATGGAAATATAAAGATGAATAAAGAGCCCATCATACACAACAAATCTTCTCATTCACTCATTTCTATCGAGTAACATGCCGCTCGCCACTATTGATTAATTTAATGCTCCTCCGCGTCTTCAATCTCCCATGACTACTACATCCCAAGGAGCTGTCCATTGACAATCACCCATCGAGTCTGAAGGGGGACGAGTTCGATAGCAGGAATAATATCCCTGCCACTAAGCCGTTGACATGATAACCAGCTCACCAAAGGCCTAAGTGGCTCGTTGCTCGCAATTGGTGACGTGTCGTGTTCCATAGGAGCTATGTATGGGAAGTCGATGAAGGTGGTGGTATGTTTACGTTGCTCCAGAACAACAATACATATTAGGCACTCTGGGGAGATGTTGTAAACCCCAAATCACCTGCCTCGCCGCTGTTGAATGTTGACTTGAGCAATGTAGCACTTCCTGCCGCCCTCTGCGAGCCCAACTTCTCTAAGCCAGATACCGCACTATCGACTTCACCAAAGGTGATTCCCAAGCCGCCTTTCCTATCATCGTCGCCCTGAGTGCCTTCTTCTATCCTCTCGTCAAGGTTCATCAGTGCAGGCGGCCGGTGACGCATCTGTCTTGCTTTGGCGAGAGAGATCGTCTTTTGTTGGTATGTAGATGTCATGGGTTGGCTTTCATCACGATCGATGGTCGCCTTCATTAGTGCCGCCATCCAAGCCCGCCCTTGCTGTATATTGGGAACCGCAAAGTAGTGTACTGTTGGCTTGGTGAAGTTGACAGCCTTGGAGAGGCCTGCTCGGGGTGGCATCAGTTTGAATATGAACATCGAATCCGTCCCTTTCTCGATGGCTGCACCTGCGGCCGCGTCGCTCTCAGCAAGAGTGTGAAGATTGCTGTCTGCAGGCGTCACGGGAGTGTTGCTAGCACCTGTCAATGTAGCATGTAGACCAGTCAAACGTTCATTATCGGCCGGTAGCACTCGGTGAAAGGAAATATCGATTAGCCCTTTCTCCTCGGTATCATCTTCTGAGTAGTAATAAGAGAGTCTCCTTCCCCTGAGAACGAAAAGGCGTGGTTTCCAAGTCGTCATAAGATGAGAGTTCTTCTTTTTCATCCATCCACTATAATCTGCATCTTTCATTGCATCCCGGGGACCAATTTTTTGCAAGCCGCGCAGATACGCGCTCGTCTCCTTCTTCGTCTTCTTTCCGCTTTTCCGGCTACTGGCCGTTGTAGTTGAATATGGACTTCTTCCAGCGTCAGGTGACTCTAAATCAAAGCTGGGGCCAGCTGAGGGAGTACTGGAGCCGGTCCTGGCTGGTGATTGCAATGGTGAATCTTTGATGGAGTCAATCGGCGAACCAAATTTTGAGCGGTCCGTGCCGGTAACGGCATCAGATATGGCTCGCAGTCCACCAAGCCCAGCAATTTTACCACTAGTATTCGATAACCAGTCACCCTGGCCACCCTGGCGTGCACCCAGCGTCGTAGGGGAGGCAGGCATTTCATCAAGCTTTGTCACCGTAGGGGATGGGCCATCTTTAGCTGGTGGCGCTGGTCGATATGAATCCGTAGTAGTGGCGGAAGTATTTCGACGGTGGTCGCCACCTGTACCGTAATACAACTGTGCAGCCGAAGGAGGGGTCGTGTCTCGAGTGGAACCTACGCTTCCAAAACGTGAACGCCTAGATAGTGCGGTTGCACTTCTGACTCGTTGCTGTTCTGCGTAGCTTGATTGAACAGCGTGGGTAGCGAGGCTGTCGCGCTTTTTAAGCACGTTGCGGCGGCGCCCGTCTAGTTCTGTTCCAGAGAAATAGCCGCGGTCAAGATCGGCCGTAGGATCCTGGGAATTATCAGGGTCGGATGCGTTGACAATATCCTGGAAACCCGTCGAGGACAATGGGCGAGGCGGGTGGTGGGTGGGTGCGGCCCCCATTGTCCAATTTCGATCGAAAGACGGCTGTTTTTTGTGGGATGCTTCAGCCTGGGGAAAAGTCCCAGAGCTGGCCAGTTTCGGAGTTCCGGCAGCGGATGTGGGAGGATTCACGGTGATTCGGAAGTCTGTAGAAGAATGTCTCCGTGAATGATGGAGATCGCGCACGGAAGCTGCTGATGGCCTCTTTTGATGGGACGACCTAGTGGGACTATCCATAAGACCCTTTGGAGAGATGGGGCCACTCAGTGCTATGGCCTCTACCCGGGGAGTTTGTGAGAGACGTTTGGTGTGAATTGATGTCGGGCGGTCCTCAATGGGCGAAAGCCTCTGCGTGTTTGTTAGAGTGCTAGTTCGGCTCCTCCTCCTACCCGTTGCCCTGGAATCTTCCGACCCCGCATCGCTGCCATATGTCTGTCGTCGCACGGCAAGACCATGCCCATTTACCTCATCCTGCAGAGCTTTTATTTTCTGCCATGTCTTCAAGCGCCTCCCCACGGAACCAAGATCAAAAGCCTTTAAGAAAAGCGATGACTGGTCCATGCCTAAAAGTACTTCACCTGCGATCTCCTGATCCCGAAACACCTCGCAGTGTTTCTTTTCTACTCCCATGGTGAACAAATACTCAGCTACGTCGTCGGCGGTCCACGCTTCGACTTCTGCACGGCTATGCGGAGCGTCCTCCTCCTCATCTGTCTCTTCGCCCTGAATATACGAAAGACGATCTTGCATCTGAGAGCTGTACTCACTACCAGAGTCCGTCGCATGGTGCGTGTTGCCATTCTGCGGAGAAGAGTGCAGATCGGTTATATGCTCGTTGATGACGGTTAAGGTCTCGTGAAGAACCTGGCTGTCCTGACTCGCAGACGGACTGAAGTGCGTCGGGGTGTCGTGCCCAGAGCCATAAGTGGGCGGTCTACTCGTTGCTTGTGCTGTCGGCGCAGAAACAGACCTGTTCTCTTGCTTCGTGGCGCTCAAAGGAAGCGTAACTGGGCTATGGTCGCCAGCCAGAGAAGGGGTCAGACTAGGATTTGGTGTCGGCTGCGGCGCGAGGACAGGGGCGGGAGCCGGTGTGGGAGCCGGAGCAGAGGTTGGCGGCTGAGATGGTTCGGTGAGCGTGCCGTTGGAGGGGAGAGCATGAGCAGGGCTCGCCGCGGGGTTCGGCGTGACGACAGGCGCAGGGACGCCTTTCGGGGCCACCCTCGTATAGACTGGCGGGGAACATTTAGTCGACACAGAAGAACAAATGAGCGGGAGGACGCACCCTCGGGGAACAGGCCAGTATTCCCATTGACCATGTGGCGACCCAAAAACCAACCATCGCCAAACTCATCGTCTCGCTCGATTAATTCGACTCGGTCGCCCTTGGCCAAACTCAATTCATCAGAGCTCCTGGCCTGGAA